TGTATCAAATTTACTGAGGAATAACAGAGAGTTGGCCGTTCTAAGGTAAAAACCCAGCGCATACAGCAGTCATGGTTTTTTGTGTTTGTTTTTTTATTTTCATTCAAACGGCTCCCCCCACCCCCCTGCAATGGCACGGCGCCCCCCCCCAGGGGGCGCGCCCCACAGTTTGGGAACCTCTGAGTTAAGTCATTGATATGCTGCACTTTAGTAGGTTTAAATATAATTAAATCCATAATGTGTTTATATTTTTGAGGTTTGCATACCCGATGTGTGCTATATATTATATCATTCACATAATCCCCTAATCTCATTTGACCAAAATATTAACATTAGTAAACAGATGTTGAGAGAAAACCGTAGGGAATGTTTTTAGTATCGGAAACAAAATGTTGGTGCACAATAGTCAAGATTCATCCCGCCAGGAAAATCAAAACATCCGGTTTGAACCACAAACCTTCAAAATAAAAGACATAACCATAGCGAACAGAGCAAATGCGAAGACGACGCTCTTGCCAGGTAAGATCAAAATCAAACTTTTTGAGCTACAAGGCTGTGTGTCAAAGAGAAAGTAAGATATCGATCAGAAAAGTGAGAATTAATGAGAAATTGGGCGGAGTTGCATCCTGAATAATTACCAGTATACCAGACTATAATTATTCTATTGGCCATTCTTTAGCCAAATAAAATGGCTAGTCATTCTGTTTGACTATAGCCAGAAGTCAAATAGAATGACTGAGGTAAAAGCATAATCATGTTAGAATGACCTCAAAGTGCAGACTAAAGTCCAATTAGACTTAAATATTAATGTTTCTATATGGCCTCGTCCTTGTTTTACAAATAAAGTGTACAAATATTAGTCTGCAGTTGTGTAAAGTTGGTAGGAAATTTTCAAGACAAGAAGATTGAGAGTTGTAATTGCAGTTAAAAGTAGTTTTCTAAAGCTTTTGACTCAGGGAGGATGCATACCATGTTCTACAAATGTTCAGTAGTAGAACATTTTAAAAATCACATATTATACACATATTCTACATCACCTCTAAAGTGAAACATTATGGTGGCTGCATGATGCCGTAAAGATGCTCAACTTCAACAGGAACACATAGAAATATTATTAAAATTGCTAATTGTAATATGACAAAATATGAAAAAGTTTGAGACAATTAATGCACATAAAATGCACTCTAAATTTGATAATGGGTAATTTGGATTAAGGGTGTTAGATGTATGTAAGTAGAATTATGAGATTTTTGTCTGGACTAATGAATTACACTAATAGATTTACCATCTTATTTTTTACGTTTGTAGAAAGTACGAAAATTACTATTTCAGGTTAAGAACTGAAGGATAAACAAAACAAAAAAATGAGTACGTTTTGGGCAAATTAGAATAATAGTTTTCTATCGTTCCCCCCAAATATACCGAGGGAAATCACCACCAAAGCAATTAAACAGTATTTAAAATACAAAGTACCACAAAGTTTGTGTTGAGTAAAAGAAAGCTGACTTGCTTTTACTCTGAAAGGCAAAACCCGGAAGTACTGTCGTAGTTGTTGTTACCGTTGGCTTACAGGCGAGTCAGAAAATCAATTAAGTTATGAAAAATACCATTAATTGCCTTTCTTTGTCACCGCAGCCCATGAAGACATGGCGGATCTACAGATGTCGGGTGTTTGAGGAAATATTCTTCTCGTCTAATGAACAATTTACCGCAGATAAAAACCTTTCCCCTCGACTGGAATATTTACGGTATCTAGGTAAGTTAGCTTGATAGCTAACCAGTGAAGTTGACATTAGCTATTCGGCTAACTATGTTTTTCTGCTGCTGAAATATTCACTAAAGATGGTTCTTGTTACTCATTACTGCACAACAACGAGGACACTTTTAATTTTAGCTTCTTATAGGACTGGTTAACATCGGACACTAAAACGTTGCTGACATTTTTTCATGTTTGCATTGTGCAATTGTGTCCTGCAGTAAATAAAGGCATTTCAGCTTTGTTTTACTGCCTAGTACAAGATTTGTTCATGCTGTATTACAATTCCAGAGCGAATCTGTTAGCCATTTTTGCTGAAGCATCTTAATGGCTTTTGTTTACGCTCTGCACATGCTCCACATGGAAATGAGAATGCGCCCTGCAGTGGTTTATACCCTTTTTTTCAGCTGTTATGTTTCAGCTTTGTTCATTGTAACGTGGTAACAAACTACGGGGAGGGGGAACTATTCTGATATTAAATTGCCGTCTCAAATTTATACTTTGCGATCCTTAAATTGCACTGGTCCTAGATTCTTGAGACCGGGCAAGAAAGACGATGATGTTTATTGTTCTCGACATACACATATATATTTATATATTATAAAGTAAAAATTGTTCCGTTGAGGTTATTCTTATGGCTAGAAATATCACTTTGTTTACGTTTTGAAAACGGAACTCCAAGTCAATTTTACTTGGTGAAGATTATAATTGAATGGTCCTAAGATGAATTAAAAAAAAAAAAAAAACTTTTTTCTCAGGTTCCAATGTAAATGAAAATCTGTCCATCCTTTAAAGGGCAATTTGGAATGACCAATTACTGTTACAGATTACAGATTATAGAGGCAATTGTTGGGTTGTATTGGCTGTTCTACGAGCAAAATGGACTTAAAAGCATCTTGTGATTTACTTTTTTTAAGCATTTATTATAAATAAGATTTAAAAAAGTAGTTCTTAGCAATAGCTTGTATGGCTGGGACAAGATCAAAAATCAACAATCAGGTACATCAGGACACCAAATAAATTCAGTAGTTCAGTTTGTATTTGTTCACCACTGTGGGCTGTATTTAATTATAGTTTTAAATATACTGTTTTATTCCTGATCTCATGGAGTCAAGAGTGGAATATATATATATTATTTTATTTATTTATTTTTTCTATAAGGTCAGGAAACCTTGCAGACTTTATTGTTGTTCCCTTAAATATCATGATGAACTGCGTGATAGTTCCTCATTCCTGCCTGGTGGAAGCTAATCCTCTTCCCCGATCTGAAGTCTTGAGCAGGTTTTCTTCCAGAATCATCCTGTGTTCAATTCCATATATCTTCACATCAGCATTGCTCCCCTCCACCCCCCTTCCCAATCCCCCTCATTCCTACTAAAGATATTTATGTCCACAGCATGATGTTGCTCCCACCGTATCTCACAGTAAGGGACGTTGTGCTCATGGTCGTATATAAGCAGTGTGAGTTATCTTCAGCACATAGCGGTTTGCATGCTGGCCACATCGGCAAAGAGGTTTTCTGACCAGAAAACTTCCTTCTAGATTTTTGCTGCCCCACTTTCATCTTGGTACTTTTCCACAAAAGGGTGGAAAAGTGGCCAGATTTGTGGAGTGCATGAAAGTCCTGCAGACAGCTTCTCTCTGACTTGAGCTGAAGATCTCTGCAGCTCCTCCAGAGACACCATGGGCCTCTTGTCAGATTAATGCTCTCCTTCCCCGGGCGCTAGTTTGATTAGACTGCTATGTCTTGGTAGATTTACAGTTGTGCCATTTTTCTTTTCTTTTTCATTTTGGAATAATGAATTGAACTCTGTGAGATGCTAAATGCTTTGTATATCTCTGTATACATTGAACCTGCTTTACGCTTCTCCACAACTTTCTGCTTGACTGTCTGGTGTGTGTCTTTGTCTTCATGTCGCTGCTTGTTCGCTAAAATTATCAAGCAAACATTGGAGGCCTTCAAAAAATAGCTTATACTAAGAATAAATTATACATAGTTGGACTTAATTTGGTAATTAAGTGACTTCTAAAGGCATTTTTATTTGTACAAAAAAAAAGCCTTTGAAACTTAAGTTATGCACCATTACGTGTTGGTCGATCCCTTTTCAATAAATAATAGATTGTCGTATCATGACAACATGAGAAAAGGTTAGGGGGTACAGGTACTTATTGAAGGCACTGTACGTACAGTACAGCCCATTCAGTTTTGAGACATGAGATGGCTTTTGTTTGTGTGGCTCTGGGTAATAATGTGTGCGGTGTGCAGCCATTGTGATCTGTGTTTTTTTTTTTTTTTTTAAATTGAACTCATCACATTGGAAGAATATGGCTCATTTTGGAGGATTTTAAAAAACAGTTGTTTGGAATTTTTTTAAGTTCTGGACACAGTTTTTTCCCCACGTTTCACTTAAATTGTTACTCCCTAAAGGAAAACAGTATTCCCTACTGGTAGCTCCCTCGTTTGTCAGGATAATGTGCCCACCAGGGCTACACAGTATGTCACAAACTTATTGTTATTGCTGTGTTAATAAACATCTCAGGCATATTGCGAAGAATCGTCTGGACTGTAATAATCGTTAGCTAATTATGCAAGCATAACGCCTTCCTGCTCTCCATGACTGTAGCATAATTGAGAGCATTTGATCATGCAGAATAAAAAAATCTAAGTTTGCATGTGAGTGGCTTGACCTTCAAAGCCTATTAAAGACATTGACTAGGCCTTTAAATTGTTAAAGATTTCAGTCCAGTCAAGCGTCTGTCATCTATGGGAGCTGCTGCAAATGTGTGGGTGCCTGACAGGACCGCAGACCTTTAGAGAGGAGCTCGGATGTTGGGTGCATGCGCACAATGATGTGGCTGATTGGGGGAATTGGATACTTTCAAAATATTTTATCCGAACAGATGACAATGAGCTGATGGTTGTGGAAGTCTGGAAGAAGACGCTGGACAGAAGAGAGAGGCTGACCGGAAGATGCCAAGAAAAAAACAGCAGAATCCACAGCCAGTCAAGTGTAGGTGCTCTATGGATCTTCTTAAAGTTGACTGTTGTTGTTGTTTTTACATAAGTCCTGAACAACAGAACCATCATTTGAAACGGTTTCTGTTCATGTCTTCACATCAAATTGACTCGAAGATCAGCTGTTCAGTTACCACTGGGCTGTTCTCAAACTTATTTAAAAACGACTTCAGGAAGGATTTTAGAAGACGTAAGATTTTGCTGTTTTCGTTCTGTGTTTGATCATTTTTGCAGTTTGATGTGAAATTAAAATATGACTATATTATCGAGCTATATTTTGAAGATGTACCCGATGTATTTGATATATTCTTCATAAACAGTGCCGCTGACATATTGAGTTTTTTTTGTTTTTTTGTTTTTTAGATTAAGGACTTTTGTGTAGTCTTCATACTCTTTGTACTGCGTCTTTACCATTAGGAGAGAACTTGGTATTCCCATACGTGATTTTTGTAAAGTAAAAACAATATTTACAGATAATCCAAACTCCTTGGTCGTCTCTTGTGCTCTCTTTTTCTTCAGCTCACCCAAAAGTTTGCCATTGGGTTTAATGCAGGGGACTTACTTTTTATGTCCAGTGAACCGTTTCTGTTCAGTTTGGGGAGTTTTCTGGATCATTATCTTGCTGGAATGTCCATTGAAAACTGTTGTTTTGATTTCCTGGCAGAGGCAAATGCACACCAGCGCTCTCGGGACCTTTCGAAAAGAAATCGGCCCAGAAGCAGGGGAGTCGGCGCAGAAATACAGCCTGTACAAATTTTGAAAGTATCTTCTTTTAGCCCCACCTATGGATCTGTTGCCCTTGGAAATTTGATGCGTTTACCTGGCTTTAGTTGTTTTGATAAATCTCATAGTCTGTAATCCCTCAACAGGTCTGTTAGCGTGACGTCAGTCTTTCCAAAATCTGTAAAGACTGTGAAAGTCATGTAGTGTGTCCCAAGCTTAAGTCTCATCTAAGTCTCAGTAGCATTTAGCAAATTACAAATATCTACATTTTGGGTGGTTAAAAATACGCTTTTTCTCCAGGAAGAAATGGGCAAGTGAAGCCATTTCCTGTCGTAAGAAGATTTAACGCTCGTCTGCCTTTCTTGAAAGAGTGTCGTCTCTTCTCTTTCCTATTTTGAAGAGTGGCAAACAGAATTCAGTGCATCATGTCACATTTAGACCCTTCGGGGAGAAAAAGAAAATCACAGATTAGTTAAACATTTCTCATCAACCTAAAAAAAAAGTAAAGTAAAAATGGAAAATTTCTTCAAAACATTACAATTTTACTAGTATTTTACAGTATGTGGGTGCCAGTAATTTTGTTGACTTAAATTAGAGGTGTCATTTTTATGGAAGAGTCAGTTTTACATTATGAAACTGTAATAAAATCCTTACAAAGTAAAATTTTAAGGTGTCATCTGGTGTAGTTGCGATAAAAAGAGCAACATTCGGCCGCTGTTAACAGTTTTTGTTTACCTTAGTGTCTTTGGAGAAAACACCAAAGGCTTTATGTGGACTGTTTCAAATATTTCAAACCATTAAATGTTTTATTTATTTATTTATTTATTTATTTATTTATTTTCTGACCACAGTGGATTCTGAAGATGGTGTAGCTGCTGACACTCCTGGAAACCTTCCCTTAGACACAGACTTCCTTCTAGAACAAGACCTTGTGTTTGGTGATGCAGACCACGACAGAATTCTAGGCTTGGAAAAGTTTGCAGGTTTGTGGGACTTTTATTTATTTATCTATTTTTTAGGAACTGAGTTTATGTCTATGTTTTTTAAATTCTCAAGCTGGTGAAAACCACCGTAAAGCTGAGTCTGGTTTTATGTCGTATTTAAACATAAAACCAGGGTTCCTACAAAGTCTGGAATATGTTGAGTTTGAATTGATTGTTTTTTACGGTGCGGGTAAGTTTGAAAAAAAAAAAAAAACAACTATTGACAAATATTTGTATGTCCAGGCTTTATCTTGAAATATTAAAACGCAACATATTTCTAGAGGAAATCTGGTTTAGCTTCACACTTTCCATTGCAGTCATTTGGTGTTGAAGACGTCTCCAACTCTTGTAAGTTTTTAGCTGCTTCATTTTAGATTCCCAGTTGCAAAATTGAATATTTGATGTCGGACAAGTCATAAAAAAACTTGAATGCGAGGTATTAAAATGATGAGTTAGGCTACAGCCTGCTAATGATGCTGAAGATGACTTCTGATTTAAAGCTATTTTTTTTTTTATTATAATGGTGAAAATTAAACTGGATGCGTTGTATTGGATGAAAGTTATTGATTAATGAGTTCATCTAAAGTTGACTGGTAAACGATTGACTAACGATCAATTGATAAGCTGCCATTTCTTAAAAAGTTTTCCTGTGTCTGAAGAGAAAACTGTCTTTCCATAACAGAAAGGGCAATATTTTTCCACATTGTTCCAAAAGGTGAAAAAAAAAGATGTTTTTAATGATTTCTCAGCCTTTGGACAACTAATTAATTGGCATGTAATTAGAAGTTCCAACGTTTACCAAAATTTAGTAAGGAGATCAATACATCCTATAATTTATTAATGTCAGGGGGGAAAAAATATTGTCATATGAAGTATTACTTTAATCTTTTGTGGTTTGAAACCCAGTTGTAAGAACAAAAGACGGCGGCTCACGGATTTCTTTCGAAGCCTTTCCACTTTTTGTTCTCTTGAACTTTGGATTCTGTTTTGTCTCGTCTCACAAGCCGAAAGGATTGACACACGACCTCGGTGTTTTTATTCATTTGTTAGCCTGGTTGTTTCTTTGTTTTTTTTTGTTTTTTTTTTGTTTGTTTGTTTGTTTTGTTTTTGTTTCTTTCTTTTTTTTCTATTTGTTATGCTTTCCACCTACATCGCTGCAGTTTTTGGCGATGGCGTGTAACAGGCAGCACACATTTCGCTGCGTGGTTGTTTGTCAGACCGAGTGAACTGAAAAACGAGAAAGCAAAAGAAGGAGCCGAGACGCGAACGTTATATAAGGGACATAAAGACGGGACCATTACCATCAAGGACATCATCATAAGAAGGCATTTATTCATCATCATGTGCTGCCTCTGCTCACGCTACTCTACCTCCATTATCGTTTCCCCATCATCATCATCATCATCATCATCATCATCATCATCATCTTCTTCTGGCCTCATCATCATCATCATCATCATCATCATCATCTTCTGGCCTCATCATCATCATCATTATCATCATCATCAGAAGCAGCAGCCTCACCATTGCAGTCATCATAATTATCATTAGGCCTGGTAATCATCCATGAGGGGTTTCCATGGGCCGGGATAAAAGGCCGGCTCCAGATCTCCCCTTCCTCACTTTGTGCTTCAGCGTCTGGAGAGGAAGGTGGTCTCGGTCCTGCTCGTTCGGCCCTCGAGAGCTCGGCACGTCAAAGCATTGAATCTTTTTACTCCACCGTCTGGGAGAAATAGATTTTCCTACCTCTAAAAATACACTCGGCTTAGTCTGTGAGTATCATTTCATTCACTAAAAGGATTTTACTGTGAAGTGAGGCTTTGTCTGCCTGAAAGTTTTTTTTTTTGTTTGTTTTGTTTTCTTTGCTACAAGTTATCACTTAAGGGAGTGAGTTTTTAATGTTCAAAAATGTCATTACATTTACTTTTCCACCTCTTCTCTTTAATCTGTTTGGGGTTTTTTTTAAATCCGTTTTCTACACTCAACATTGTCTGTGTAGCTGTGTGTGGCAAAGTGCCAACCCCGCCCTGAATGCCTCCACTGTGCACGCTGAAGTTTGAAATGAATTCTGTGCTCAGGTTTTAATTTGAGAAACGGTGAAAGCAGCTGAGCTTGTTTGAACATGTCCATAGGAATTATCATAGCTAAGTCTTAAGACGGTTGAAGTGACATGAACATAGTGAAGGCTCACCGTAACGTAGTGGAAAAGGAAGAGCTGGCTCGTTTCACTCTATGCAGCCACACCGTTTGGTTAATATATGCACCGTCTGATTACTAAGAGTATTCCTGTTCATTAGATTTTTCCTACTTTTGTCATGTTAGAACCATAAATGTATGTATCTATGTATACTGGGGCTTTAAATAATAGACCAACAAAAAAATAGTGCATAATTGTGAAGTGGAGAGAAAAAGGAGCAGCGCTTTTCACAAAAAAATTAAAAATCTGAAAAATGTTGGTTTGCATTGTGTTTGCCCCCCTTTACTCTGCTAGCCCTGTAGAAGTTCAGCGCAGACAATTAATAAACAAGTAATTTGTTTTTGGTATTAATGGAGCTTTTCAATTAAGACATTCAAATCCAAAAACATTTCATCCCAAGGGAAAATTAAATCTCATAACTCATATCATCCAAGTTTGCTTAAAGAGTCGTCGTGGTAGAACCGCACACCCAGCTTTAGCAGGAGAAGCAGCCAAAAGGATTGGGCTGTCACCAGGGGAGCTGCAGCGGTTTGCAGCTCAGGTGTTGAAAGAACAACTCTTAACCTCCATTAACATTCCACAGATACGGCCTTTAAAGAAGAGAAGTAAGAAGGCAGCAGAGGTTCAAAGAAATTAAGACGTAGTCATGTTTGTAGTTTTCCGCAAGCCATAAAGTGACAGAAAGTGTTCTTGTTGTACCTGTGGGAAAAGGAATTTTATTTTTAGTGATTAAATTGATTAAAAACTTTGCACTCTATCTAGGTTAATATTTGTTGGGGGTAAAAATGAAAACCTTTTTAGAATTGTATGCCGCCTTGTGGTGATTGATCACAGAAAATCTCAGTAAAAACAACAGAAGTTTACGACTCAATAGGAGAAATTCAAGGCGTGTAAACACTTCTTTAGGATACGGTAGATGGAATCATAACAAATGTAGTTTTGTTCTGTCTGTTGAACTGGGAGCCACTTTTGTGGAGCACTTATGCAAACAGCAGTGTCCCATAGAAAATACTTTCTTAATAAGGAATGTAAATGGAATCAAAAAAAAAAAAAAAGACTTTAACTGCATTGTGTTTGTTCTTCAAACTTCATCTCAAAATCATGTTTTTTTTTTGCTTTTGTTTTTTTTTTAAGCTGTGCACATTTGTGAGAGTTGTATTCACTTTGTGGGCCTTTAGGATGAAATGTGTTTGTTTTTTGTTTTATAGAAGTAGCTGCTGAGATCGGTTTCTCCGTGTGTCCTCTGGGTGATGAGGAGAGCTCTTCCTACAGCCAGCTCAGTATGGAAAGTGAAACGGACAACTCGCGCAGCACAGCCGACAACAGGAGGGAATGCCAGAGCCGAGGGACTCAATCCGAGCCAATGTTTCCTCCTTACCTTTCCTGTAGGGTCTGCGGACAGCTCCGCGACGAACCTCTCGGCCCAGGCATGGACCTGGTTGGGCCTTACTGCCTTAGGTGTTGCAAAGCCTCCAGGGAGGCGAAAAGCTCAGACTTCTGCTCTCCTTTCGGGAGCGGCGGCGGGGTTCGCTCCGGTTTGCAGATTCGTACGAATTCCCAGCCTGATTGCGAGGGCTTGGGGAACGGGGTGGGCGACAAGGAAGAACTGTCCGCCGAGGACAGACTGCTCAAGCAGCACTCGTGCCACCTCTGTGGCTTCTCCTCTCGCTATGCCAACCACGTGAAGCGTCACATGAAGACGCACAACGGGGAGAAGCCCTTCAACTGCCCTCTGTGCACTTACGCCTCAGCCCAGCTGGTGAACCTGCAGAGACACTTGCGCATCCACACTGGGGAAAAACCCTACAAATGTGAGACGTGCGCTTTCGCCTGCAGTTCCCTTGGAAACCTCAAGAGGCACCAGCGCATGCATGTGCCTAATTTGCCCCAGATGCACTCTGCAGGGGTGGGGCAGGACGCTCCACCTCAACCTGTGTGTGGCCACAACAGCCTGAAGAGACCTGGGAGTGAGCAAAGACCCAATGAGGAAGTGACTGGTGCTTCAGGTAAGACTTCCTGTAATTTTAACTATTGGACAACACACACAAAAAAATAAAAAATCAACTTAATTGAAGTTGGTTGTAACATAATTGTAATTAACTTTTATAAAAATAGGTTTTTTGCAAGTTTGTTAAAACTGCTACCATATCTGATATGATTGGATGAAAAAAATCAAACTCCTATGCCTTCACCCTGTGGTCCTACTGCCATCTGTAGCAATACACAGCTTGGTCAGAAGCAACCAATCAGAGCCAGAATGAAGGGTCTTAATGCTGTCAGTCAACCGTGTGTACACGCTGCTTAATGTCCTAAAGGCACAGAAACAACTTAATGTTGCAGGATGTTAAAGATTAATGTTTACTCGGTGTCATCAGCGGCCCTGCTAGCTAGTTAACAGCAGGCTCTGATGTGGGGGAGGAGCTGTATAGCTCCTGGCTCCAATTGGCTGTTTCTGACTGGCACGGGTGTATTTCTGTAAATAGACCACTGGGAGGAGCCAGAGAAGCTTAAAAAATAAAAATATTTCACAGATTACCTTTCTCATGTCATACTGTCAGTTTTAAAAATGTAGAAAACTTATTTTATTTTAATAAAAGTTAAATAATGCAGCTTTAAAGGGATATAAATGTTTTTGCAAAGCACTTTCAATTGTTACTATAACTGTCTTGAAATATATTTCATATGACTTAATAACTCACTCTGTAACTTTTTTCTTTTTGTTTGTTTGGGTTTTTTTGCCCCCAAAGTCTCTGAGGTTGCAAGGCCAACCTCTAACCTGAGTTTGGGGGCCCAGAACAGTGACTACCTGTCGGTCTTTGATAACTTGAAGGGAGCATCTCCTCCCCCCATCCCTGCGTCCAACCCAGCTCCTGGCCACCAGCCTCCCTCTCTGCTGGAGATGACCGGCAGCGGTAGCAGCAGGACTACTCGAGGGGCCGTGGCCGAAGGCGCAGCACTCCCGACTCCACTTTTCCCGTTTACCTGCCGGCTATGCGGGGTCGTCCTGGAGGACGAGGACGGCTCCTCAGCCCAGATTTGTGCCAAGTGTACCCTTGAAATGCTGACCAAGGACTCCTCATCGTCTCCGAACAGCCCCGGTGAGCGCAGTGACAAGGTCTACACCTGCGCCGCCTGCCCCTTCCTCACCCACTACCCCAACCACTTGGCGCGCCACATGAAGACTCACAGCGGCGAGAAGCCGTACAAGTGCCCCCAGTGCGACTACGCCTCGGCGCACTTCGACAACCTCAAGCGCCACCACAGGGTGCACACGGGAGAAAAGCCCTACAAGTGTCATCTGTGCGACTACGCCTGCGGGAACCTGGCCAACCTCAAGCGGCACCAGCGCGTCCACTCGGGCGCCAAGCCCTTCCAGTGCCCCGTGTGCAACTACAGCTGCAACCAGAGCATGAACCTGAAGCGGCACATGCTGCGGCACACCGGCGAGAAGCCGTACAAGTGTCAGGAGTGCGGCTACACCACCGGCCACTGGGACAACTACAAAAGACACCAGAAAAAACACGGCGTGGCCACTGACGGCTGGGTGAAAGTTCCCATGATCGGCACCGACGTGGAGGAGGACAGGAGGAAAGTGATGGGAGGCGGCATTCAGACTCACAGAAAAGAAGTCGGAGCCGATATGCAGTACATGCCGCGGGAGGCCGGGGCTGGCTGTACACTCAAGCTGCAAACTTAAGGTTGCATAATTCCTAACACAGCAAAACTAAGCTACCAGCAACTTGTTTCGATTGTTTTCACTGAGCCTTTTTATGGATTTAACGTGCGTCTATCTCTCAGTGTCGCGTCGGATCTCCTCCATGGCTGCTAATTGTTCAGTAAGTGGAATCTGGCAGAGTTAGGAATTCGTTTTTTCAATTTTTTTTAATGCCTTTTTGGTTTGAGTGTTTATTTTCTACAGTGTTTTTTTTTTTTTTCATTTTTTCATGTCAGGGTAAAAAAGGGAACTCTGTGGAAGTCCTCTGTCTCACTGTGTAATCAGATACCGATATTTCACTCTCACACTACACGCATGTTGTCATTTGAACGATGACGCGACCAAATATCGCCGTCCTTGTGGGACTCCTTCCCTTGTCTGCTCGAGCTGCCCTGACAAGTCATTAAAACATTTTTAATGCACAAGTTAGTTATTTTTGGTTAATTTTAAACGCAAATGAAATCAAATTGGTACTGAGTCTGTTTGGTTCTTTTCTTCTAAATGACATTTTTATTCTTAAGTGTGACAATTTTGTACCGACCCAGAACCGGACAGTGCATCTTTTAAGCAGATGGGTTCTGGAGACGACTTTATTGTGCTTTTTTTTTGTTTTGTTTTGTTTTGTTTTGTTTTGTTGTTTTTACTCAAGTTCAATCTCTGTTAGTGATATGCCTTCAGATTGCCGTATGTAATGCTATCAAAGTGCTATTTAATAGTACAGATATTGTGTTTGTCTTTATGAATGTGCCAGTAATTTAAACAATGCTGCCCTCACTCAAATAGTCCATTTTTATTTACTTCATTTTTTTTTCTTTTTGCCAAAATCTCCTACGCTTCGTCTGTAAAAGTAAAGAAATGTGTTGATTAAGACTTAATTTAGCACCATAAATGCATGTGGAGCATGTTGATGGGGCGTCTTCGGCTTCCAGTCATTGGTCTAGATCTTCTACAAACAATTTTTATCCCGTGCTTATTGAAGCTCAATAATTCTGACACCTGTAGAGCTCCGTGTTCCTCTGAGTATAAGTAGATTAGCATTCGACTAAATAAAGTTAAACTTGCTGTTCTGTTACTTTAGGTGCGCACTTTTCAGATTCCAGCCTTTAGGATTGTTGTAACAGGGCATTTCCTCGTATAAAAAAAAAAAACCCGTATCGCTCAGTGTCGTTTATATCGATTTTTTTTTTTTCGTCGTTACTGCTGATCCAAAAGTGCCAACTCGAAACAAAATTAAAGCAATAAATTAAAGACTTAAAACGTGTATAGCTAATTGTGAAATCGATCAGCGTTTGTTCACGCAATACTCGGCGTACTTCTTGCATTCAATTCAGACGCTTTCCATTTGTTTTTTATTATTTAAATCGTCCACACGCTGCTTTCTGGTATAATATTCTCCTGCTCTTCCTTTCGTGCTCATTTGCAGTCACTTTAGATGGCATATTTTCCGCTCTCCGCACCATTTAGATGTGTACTCATTGTTTGCAGAGCTCAGTGGTGAAACCGGGTCATTAGCATCGACACGGAGCCAATAAGCAGAAGAAAAAAAAATACTACAGTTGTGCTGCAGGCAATAATTGATCTCACATCCAGATTGATATGTTCTTATTTTATCCAATGGTTTCCCTGTGAAATAGTTCAGTATATATACCAGGAGCCATCCATCCATTATCTTCGAGAAAGCATGCTAACCAGATCACCAAGCCGCCTCAACCGGCTCCTCTCTATGTGGTGGAGCCTACCAAAAAAAAAGTAAAAAAAAAAAAATAAATAAATAAAAAAAATAAATGAATAAAATCCGGAGAAGGGGAGACGACCACTAGCATAAGTATAACAGAGATAAAGAACCGTGTATTGCCAGGTGAAGCATTGATTTAAATACTTTACATGCAGCCTAGAGATTAGTTTTATTTGCAATGTTTCAGGTTCATTTCTTCTAACATATCAGTAACTTTTTACAGCTTAGCAACACATTTCATTGACGACAGTCTTTCAACGGAAGACCTCTGCTTTAATTTAGTTTGCTATTTACTGTGAGATTTCTTTTTTCTTTTAACCTGAAAAGAGATTAATCAAATAAGAAAGCATGTGAACACGTGATAGTTTTATTTCTCTAATGTGGCTGTAATGCACATCTCGGAGGTGCATTTTTTTTCTTTGACTGTGCCGTGTCATTTAGCTGCCATGTTTGGAAAATAAGAACTGTGATTTAATGTTAAGTGTTTGTGAATGACTATTTTATGCAAGGGAGACATTTTCCAGGCTGCAAACCCGACATGTCACAATGAGCCCACGGATTTATATTTCCCGCAGGTGGGCCGTTTCTGTTTTTACGACGTCATTAATGCCTTAAATGAGGAGTTTGAAATAAATACCTGGAATACGCATCGTTGGATGTAAAACATCGAGCTAATCGTCTGGTTTGTTGTCTTTGTTTTGCACGAAGCGTAGCATTTGGTCACACAATCAAATTTGTCTGTTTTGCTCATCACAACTATAACTTGTTTCAGCTTTCATGGGCAAAATAACCTCAATAATACAATCTGCATGTCTGAACAGATACGTCTGAGGCAAGGGGTATATTTTATTTTCAAAATAAAAATTCTAATGTTGAAAACTCTACTCTCCATGTTGAGTGGTTAAATGGTGGTTAATTGCCACAGTTTGTAACTTTTATAAACAATGTGTATATATTATTTACATATTTATTACAACTGTCGCCATGTTGTGACAAAAAAAAAAAAAACTGAAAAAAGTCAAGTTCCTCAGTCAGAAATAACCTGTCAGAGCCACACTAATGTATAGCAGCGTGTGCAATAATGCTAATGTACACGCTGCTGAATGTGCTAATGGCAAAGAAACAACTTGCCTTTACAGAAATACTGTTTACTCGTCGTTATCAGTGGCCATGCTAATTAGCTGGCACAATCCCTGCTGACTTGTGTGGGAACCTAGAGGAAGGCTAGCAGAGAGCAACGGGGCGATGATTGACAGCACTAAAACCCTCCTCCTGTCTCTGATTGGATGTTTCTAACAGAGTGGCGTATGTCTGCAGATGGCAGTAGGACCACAGAGGAGCTTGATTTTTTTTTTCTTTTTTTTTCAGATTATCCTTCTCATTTTATTGCAACATAGTGAGTTTTAATGTTTTTTATTTTAAAAATCATTAAAGTTACATACTGCAGTTTTAAGTATAAACCAAAAAGGTGAAATCTAAAATAAATTGTTCAACAAACTGGTTTATTTCCACCGGTTTTGGCATGACTGCCGGGTAAAAACAATGTAAGACGAGTCACACGGTCAGTGAATCTTTTGAGTTTATTTTAGCATCTGGACATCTGATGATTATTCATGAATTTTGACATTTATGTTGAAATGACACCTATGGGGAAAAAAAATAAACACTAAGATTTGGCACGTACACATTTACCAACAATCAGGATCTTGCAGCGCTGTGAACTCTGAAGTGACGGGTAAAGGAGAAAAAGTAAAAAAAAAAAAAAAAAGACCTCGGTTGTTATTGACCTATCTATAAAAAGCAGAGGGGAGTAAAAAGAATCAAAGCAGCCGAAGGATGAAAACATTTACATCATTTGTCGTTCCAGTTACCAGTAAGAATAAAGCTGTTGATCCGTTGACACCGATTTACATTTAATGGCCTCATAACTCACCGAGACAACAGCGGCGACATGATACTTTGTTTTTTTGTCTTTTTTTTTTTTTTTTAAATCAGTGAGATATGGTCAATCTGTTGCCTACTCTGTAGAAACTTTGTTCATTACAGCAACTGTGATTACACTAGCCACTTCGAAGCACCATTCTTTTTAATTAAAAACATTCAACATGATTGAAACAACCAACAAATCACAATAATTCAAAGAACATTCCCCCTCAGGATCATTTGTCAGAAGAGAACAAGACAGAAAAATCACGATAAATTTGTAAACACTTGATTTAAACCAAGATGTCCCCCCCAACATCACGTAAACATGATCAACGTTGGTCCATGTAGACTTTGTTTCATACAGCTTAGATTATATTTAAGCTATTCGATTACAATAAGCAATGATACAGATATTAGTACATGTTCAGAATGCTTACTTGCAAGTACAGAATATAAAAAGTGACATTATCATAATTTGTTGTTTTTTTTATTATTTTTGTGCAAAATGCTTTAGTAAACTATAATTTGGCATTAATGAGAAACCTTGAAAAACCTGCAAACAAAAACTAAATAAAATGGATTTTCATGTTTTTACCGTCACACTTGAGCCTCAGCTCAAAAATTTCAGCTCAACTGTTAATACTGTGCAAAAATGATGGGCAAGCAGCTCCACCAACTTGATTAACCTTCCATCAACTTCTGCAAGATTCTAGTTGTTTGAAATGTTTGCTCTCAACCTACGGCGAGTGACAAGTTAAGGCATCGGACTGCTTCCGAAGGCAGGAGAAGTGACACCTCTTCTAACTGGACTTTTTTTTTTTTTTCTTCAAAATTTGGCACAAGAGTAGCAGGAAACATTTTAGAAGCATTTTAAAAGCCAAACACCGATCTATATGGCGAACCAGCTGGTCTAAATTTTCTGTAGTTGTGAGATATATTTTAACACATTTGCGACCACTATATATTCTCCTCCCCGTTCTGGGATATAATCACTAGTGGCAGGTCTGCACATTACACACACAAACAAACATTTGGCTCTGGTCGGAGATGGAGCATGCAGCCCACTTGAAATGTTTTCCTCATGTAAAAATCGATACAACTTAAAAAGTCTTAATGGAATGATTCTAACTAAAACTAATCGGGGCGAGCCTTTTAGAGTCTAAAAGAGCAAATGGCGGCGGAAGAGAAAATGGGAGCTTTAAGGCAGCAAGTTCTCCGGGAAGAAGCTACAATCTTGCAGACGTGGACCGCCTCGTGTGGATCGCTCGGCTCAGTTCAGCTTGTGATCTTTGTTGCTTTAGTCGTTACTGGTGAAGTGAAGAATGGAAGCGGGGCAATTTGCGCGTTACAGGTCATCATCGCCGATTCCCTCGAAAGCGTAGTTGCCGTGAAAGTCGTCGCCGCTGATGTCGTTTGCAGAGTTGGACGCACTGATCCCTCTGAGAGACACCGAATTCAGCTTGGTCTGGACAAAAATAAAAAAGTGCAAACAAATTAGAGAGAGTGGTTGAATCTTGAAGGAAAAAAAAAAAAAAAACTTTTCTAGTTTGATGCTAAAAGTCCAGAAGAAGGACAGAGTAATACTCACCGACAGCTTGACAATTTGTTCTCGGCTCGGATCAGGGGAGTCCTGCGAGCCCAAAAACATAAGTTATTGTGAAAAAATATAACACCCAGCATTTATATCATCAAAACAATCAGCCTGCTGTTCCATTACTCACCAGTAGAGGGGGAGATTTCACAGCTTGCTGACTGTCAGACCGAT